TTTCTTCATGGCAAACTCTCTAAAACTCCTTGAGTTTGAGCGAAAGTGTGAGAATATTATGTAAATATATTATATTGTGTGAATATTAGATTGATTGTAGAATATAGATTTATTCTTATTTCTTTTTTTAGATTAGGTCCATAAAACTTGGTTGTACTCTTTGTATTATTAATAATGGAATATACGCATTCTCTCAGAAAACTTACACAAAAGTCTCCTCATAATCAATACTATACTCCTGTGAGAAACCCAACCAGACAAGTTTTGTAGCACTCAAGAAAACCATTAGAATGAGTCTTAACTTTGTAAACCCATTTGCAAAAATACCAGATTCTCATCAGTAGGCAAAGGAACCAATTCCCAAGTATTAGTTTTCTGTAGAGCAGACAACTCATCCTCCATAGCTTGAATCCAATGAGGGTCCTGACAAACCACCTTGTAAGACTGAGGTTCTGAAAAAAGAGTGAATAACAAACAAAAACGTATAATATGAAGGAAACAAACATATCTTAACAAAACCAAGTTTTATGACCTGTTTACGAATGCGAACGGAATATTTATGATTAGCAAGATCAGAGTTGTCAAAAGCAAGAGGATCAACAGCAGGGGTAGAGACAATTGATGAAAGGAGAGCCTTGTGATGATAATAGACTAACAACGGAAGAGGAGGAGGAGCAGACTGGGAAGGAGGAGGAGACGAGGGAACAGATTCATAGGGATTAGTAGAGAAGGACTCATCAGGAGGGGTGAAAGAAGGAAAAGAGGAAACAGATTCATGGGGGTCAGTAAAAAGGGACTCGTCAAGAGGGACAGGAGGACACAGTGTTTTAAAGAGTGCGCCTAAGCGCAAGGCAAAGCGCAAGGTTGCACTTCATGCATAGCAAGGTGAGGTGACGTGGGTAAGGCGCAATTGAGGCGCTGAGGTGAGCGCCTTCTGCGCTTCACTTCTCCTCTACTCCAACGGCTCGTATGGTTTTCTGTGTGGATACCCACATGGAATAAAATCTCTCTTACATTATAAAATGACCAAAACGTGGTCTAAAAGAGCAAAAAGGATTAAAAAAACCATAGTAGGTGGAGAAGAAGAAGACAACATGACAGAAAAAGAAGATAACACAGTACTTTGGCTTTTGACACACAGCACGCAGGTTCTTCTCTGTTTCTTCTCTGGTTCTTCTCAAGTTCTCATCTTCTTCTCTTCTCTGGTTTTCTTCTCTGGTACTTCTTTGCCTCAGTTTTTTTTTTTTGCTTTATTTTTCTGGCTCTTCTCCTCTCTTCTCTACTCTTCTTCTCCTGCTCTCTATTTTTTTCTTCTCAGTCTTTTTCCTTCGTTTTTTCTGTCTCTATTTTTTTTCTCCTTTGTTCTTCTTCTCTAGTCTTCTTTTTCTCTGTTTCTCTCTTCTCCTCTTGTTCTCTTATTCTCAAGTCTTCTTCTCCTACTCTCTGTTTTTTTTCTCATCTGTTCTTCTTCTCTGTTCTCTCTGTTTCTCCTCTGTTGTTGGTGGATGTGAATGTGACTTTATACATTTTGTTGAATATAATTTTTTTAATATACTACATATATTTGTTATGTTAAAAAATTTGCCTATTTTATAATTTTGCTTTTCTTCTACTACATGCGCCTCGCTTTGGTGAGGCGCACCTCGTGTCTCATGCTTAGGCTATAAGAGACCTTATCGCCTCGGTGCGCCTGGAAAATTTTGAAACACTGGAAGGAGAAGAGGGAACAAGTTCATGGGGAACAGTAGAGATGTACTCATCATGAGGGACCTAGAGAGAAATGGATCAAAATGAACCAAATCTTTTTTGGAAACCGAAGCAATGATAGGAGGAAGCTGAAAGTAAGGCAAGCGTTCAAAAAAAGAAACATGATGGGAGACATAAAAACGACAGAAAACAGGGTCATAACACCGATAGCCTTTCTGAGTAAAACTATAACCCAAAAAGACACATAGGACAAACTGGTCACTAAGTTTGGTCCAATCTTTATGGGGAAGAAGAACAAAACAAGCAGACACAAACACACAAAAGAGGGAGTAATTAGGAATTTGAGAGAACAAAGCCTCATAAGAAGACCGACCAAAAAGAAAGGGAATAGGCATGCGGTTGAGAAGAAAAGCAACAGTAAGAACTGCCTCATCTCAAAATAGAGCCGAAACTGAGGCAGAGAAAAGAAGAGACCCAATTGTCTCAAGGAGATGACGGTGTTTACGCTCGGCTCGACCATTTTGGACAGATGTATCAATACAGGAAGTTTGGTGAATAGTACCCAAATTGGCCAAATACTCACAGCACTCAGTTTTAAAATATTCCCCACCCAAGTCAGATCATAACACTTTAATTGTAGACCCAAACTGAATAGTAATCATAGACTGAAAGGTACAGTATATTTGACAGAAATCGAACTTATGAGTCATAATATAAACCCAGTGTAACGGGTGCAGTCATCAACAAATGACATATAGTATGCAAAACCCCTTTGGTGAGAATAGGAGAAGGTCCCAAACATCAATATGAACTAAACAAAACTGTGTATCAAATATAGAAGTACTTGTACGAAAATTAAGACTGTCATTTTGGCAAGTTTACACCCCCGACACTCGGTAAGCTCACTAGAAGAAACTTTATCCAATATACTAGACTAAGCTAGAGACCGTAAGCAGTCAGCAAACAAATGCCCTAATCTAAAATGCTACAAGTCAAAAAGACTAGATAGAGAATATAACTAAAAACAGGAAAAGACAGTCGAAGAGGTTGTCATAGGTAGATGCAAGCTCTCTACCACATAGAGGTCTCCAACTCTACGGTTGGTCCCAATCTCCTGCTTGGACATCCGATCCTACACAGAACAGAAAGAAAAAGAAAACATAACATCAAAACCGGAGACATCAAGCTTACTGATAGATAATAAATTGACAGATAACTGAGGAACGTAAAGGACAGATGGAACAGAGACATCAAACATAATAGACAGTAGGACAAACCCAACAGATATAACAGACATACCAGACCCATTAGCAACATTAACAGTAATAGGAAAAGTAGGGGGAGTATAATTTTAAAATAAGGAGAGATGGAGAGTCATATGATGAAAGGCACCAGAGTAAAAATCTAGGCAGACGAAGAGATACCTAAAAAGACCTAAGCAAACCTGAATGAAGAGAGGACACAATGGAAGCAGACGAGGATGGCTGGAAGGTAGACAGTATATGCTGAAATTGACTAATCAGAGTAATCAAGGACGCCAAGTCCAGATCAAGAACAGAAGCAGATGTAGTAGAATTGGCGGGAGGCTGAAAAGTACTAGGAGGAGGGGCGCGGAACTGGATCGAAAACTATTGAGAAGACGAGGCAAACAGACATCCCTTCTTGGGACAATGATACTTCTAATGACCCCTCTAATGGCAGAAGGCACATTCATCAAAAACCAACGACATCGTAATAACCAGAGAGGTGAGGTGTTCAAGTGTAATAAATCCAAAATAGAACAAATTAGCCAAATTAGGGTCGAAGGGTAATAACCAAAAACAACTAAGAGGTTGACGTATAATAAACCAAGAACTAAGGGGTCACACTGTAATAAACCAAGACTGTATCAATATATCAATACACGAACCAAAGAAGACAAAGGGTATGTTTGGTTTGGTTTTGAGAGAGTAGTTTTTAAAAATTGTTTCGGGAAGAGAGTTTAGAAATTTTTTTGGTTTGTTTGGTTGTGTATTTTGAAAGTAGTTTTGGAGTTTGGGAATTTGGAATGATTTGATATTTTGTTGTAATTGAGTAGATATATGTGAGAGAAAAAGTGATTGCGAAGGAGAGAGGAGAGATAAAAAGTGATTGATTGATTGATAATTAAGAACGAGAGAGTGATTTTGGAAATTGTTTTGGAAAAATTACAAACCAAACAAGTTTTTTAGAAAAATTTTCCCAAAATCTCTACAAATCCAAACCAAACATACCCAAAGCCTTCGTGAGAAAGAGAGGGGATCAGAGAACTCGATTACGACCTAGAAGAAATCAAGGCTCAAATATGTTCAAGCCTAAAGGAGGACCAGCGAACAAATGGGTCACAATTTTGGGTCGATCACCAACCAAAGAATGGGTCACGACACAGACGCTGGTGTCGCGATGTGTTGAGCTTCAGAGATTCGAGCAAGGGGCTAGGATGACTCGCGGATTTAGAATAGACCAAATGAAGATTATTGATGGTCAATGGTGAGTTGCGGACCAAAAGCGTGGTCGATGGTGAGTCGTCGCGACCAAAGGCAAATGAAGAAGGGCCTCGTGAACTTGATTATGAGCAAGACCTTGCGAAGATGAACCAGAATAAGAGAGAGAGCAGTGATGAGAGGCAGATTTCAACACTAGGGTTCAGAAAATGTTGATAGGCTCTGATACCATGTAAGATTTCTGAATAATTTTTGTATATTCAATTGTGTTTGTAATGCAAGAGTGTATTGGTTTATATAACAATCTAACCTAGGACTGAAAAAGGAAAGAATAGTATCTACTCAATCCCTAATATATGCAAAATATATATACTACTATATATACATAAAACCAAATATTCTCGCAACTACAACCTAAAAGGGAAAAAAAAAATTACAGGGTGGAAATGAAATCGTGAAGATCCCCACAAAAAACAAAAACAAAAACAAAAACCAGCTCAGACAAATAGCAAGACGAAACACACACATCAAGTTTGCAACATCATGCCTGCTATCTCGCAACAGGATAAGGTTAAACAATCAAACATCTCAAAGACATTTGTCATTTTGTGGCTCTTTGTCTCTCTTACTAGGGGACAGGAAACATATGATAATCAAAAACAATGGCACAGCATTAGAAAATTGGATAGCTAAATGAAATGTACACACTTGCAAAAAAAATAAAAATAAAAATTATAGCTGTTATGCAGCAACAAGACAGAAGGCTAACCAATCAGGTATCTCAAAATCATTTGCAACATCAAACAACAAAAAAGAAAGCATGTTACATACGGATCTGCCCGATTGATTCGACAAATTTCACAATAAAATTGAGACGGAATGCCCTCTGAACACTGCTCTGGGATGATAACACAAGAAATATGTTGCAACACACGACACTGCGGATCTACACACTGCAAAAAGCAATTACCAGACTTAAAGAGTAAAACAATAAAAAAATAAAAAATCATTCTGTGGCTAACTAAAAAGGTGTGATCAATCTAAGAAAAATAAAAGCATACAATAATAGATTAAAAAGACAAGGTAAATGTAACACAAAAATAGCACATCAATGGACGAGTGTAGTTTAGTGATGGACCAATCACTGTGTACCAAAGCACACCATAAAGCAAAAAGAAAAAATGGTCCAAAATAAGATAAAGCAAACAAAAAAAATTCTTAGAACGGTATGAAATAAAACTTTTTGGGTAAATTACACTATTAACCCCTATAGTTTGACTCAAATTTCACTTTTGTCTCTATTGTTTTAATTTGAACAATTTAGTCCCTAAACTTTAAATCCAGTTTCAATTGGGTCCTTCCATTCAAATTTGATGTTAAAATTAATGTTTTTGTTGCTCGTGTCAGTCTCCTAAGGTGTACACACAAAAAAATTGACGGTTATTTGGACGGAAAGACTAAATTGAAACTGCAATCAAAGTATAGGGACCGCCACCACCTTCATTCTAAATTTGTTGACCTACAAAAGCTACAATCTACTCAACTTCTCCATATCATTTATCAACTTCGATTCAATTCTCATAGGAAACATTTTTGACAAATTTAGGTTACTACAATTGAATGACACCTACCACAATTATTCATGAATCTATTTGGATCGAGTCTGTAGCTCAAGAATGGTGAATAAAGCTATTAAGCTTGACACTATTTCATGTGGTAAATACATGCTTAAATGAGCTTCGTATTAAACAACCCTCAAAGCGGCACAGCAGTATGCTACAATCACACAACCAGCTCAAAGATGCCTACATTGTTGTTTGGAAATTTCAGTGTCATTTGGCATGCAAAAACTCTGAATGATGCATTACAAAATGGTGAACATATTCGAGACCATAATTTTCATTTGGCACATTGCTTCCACACTAAAAAAAATAATCTGGTAGATGATGGAAGAATTCTATCCAATGATTTTCTGGTCTTACAGAGTAAAATTAACCAGCAAGGAGAGAAGTAATTATTAGAAAAACAATTTTAATACTGATGCACCATACAACAGTAACTCAAGATGTCTCCTGCATAGTTAGTTTCCCTGTCTTTATTTCAGTTTTTGGTCCAGCAAAACAAGCGAAGGAACAAAGTCAGAAGAAAAACTAAATGACAAATACCCAACCAAAAGCGAAGGAATAAAGTATCACCTGAATCATATTACCCTTAATTGGCTGTGACCAACAACAGGGGCAGCGAACCTCCTTTTCTACAACTTCTTCTTTAGGTTTCATGTTGTCGATTTCTAAAAAACTATCTCCATTCGTTGATGCAGAAGTGGTCCCCGCACCCTGCAGTTTTCTGGGATAAGAAGGCAAAATGAATGCATATTAAAAGAACATTACAAGATGGAAAAATAATAATTTTCCTGCGAAAAGAAAGGACAGGAAATGAGGATGAACTACAGAAAGTAAACACATACAATTATATATTACTGCTAAAACTTTCAATAAGTACTTCAAAAAATATATATATATATATATATATTATTATGCAATGCTTTAGGATGTCTATTCAGAATACCACCTGTAAACATCATCAATTATTTCTGCCACTCCTTCCTTCTCAATAAAATTTTTCTTTGCCAAACCATGCACATTTGACACTGCAGACAAAATTAAGAAGACACAAAAAGCTTTATTCGAAGTTGATCTGATCCATAGTTTATGACAAAGACACAGAAACAGAGTCAAATGCAGAATTAAGTGTAAACCTCAAGAGTTAATGTGTAGTAGACAACAACCGCTCCAGTTGATATAAACAAGGACCAGCAGCAATACAACATAATGATATTAAAAGTGCATTTCATGAAACACTACAACGAGTAGAAATTCAATGAAGAAAAATATATGGACGATGAGAAAAGGAATCAAACCAAAACAGTTCACCACTGATGCCTGAATCTACAGCATACCAACCAAATGTCATGTATAGAAATATAAGTCTGCTATACAAATGTAGCAATATGAGAAGCAATGCATTACCTTATGCATAATTTGGACAATGAATTCCACAATTTTTTATTTTTCGATAAATAAAGACAATTTATTAGTAACAATCTAGCTAAGGTAAATAAATCTGACAACATAAAACTAGAAAAGACATCTTGGATAGATTTCATACCAAAAAGAAATCAGTGTCATGCAGACATCAAGGCCCCCAAGAATGTGTAGAAAAAGAAAGAAAAAAAATACCCAAGTAGAATGATGGACTCTGATTCAACTTCAAGAAACACCCACCTGGTGGGAACTAGTCTCAAAGGAGGTGGCATGCAAATTTTCCGGGGAAGCTTATGTTCGTTTTTAGCACCATGTAAAGATATAAAGTGGGTTGAAGGCCTTTATCATGTAACTAAGTATTCATGTTATGCAATTCCTATCATTCTGTAGAAAACATTTGCTTGTGATGAGAAACCAAATGGATCCAAACAATATTTTGGGGCATCATGATTTCCATCTAAAGACTGAACCTACTTCAAATTTTAATTTAATTATGTGTATAGCCCTTGATAGGGCTGAATGGCAAAAAAATTTATTCATGTAGCCAACCCCCAAAATTTGGTTTGGTTTGGATTATAAAAGTTAATGATTAAGAAAATTTTAAAAACTAGTATATTTACTTCATTTTAAGCATCAAGATGTGGAAGATCTAAAAGGCTGCTCTGTTAAGTTTTATTCTAGTCTTCTAGAATACATAAATATCATTTATCTCAATTTATTTGAATTTTTTACTACCACATTTTGGTTCATGTATTATTCCTCATTGAACATCCCAAAAGGTCAATAAAATTCTCCACTTCAAGAAAATTATAGTCAGCATTTGAATCTTTTCAAATCTCAACCTTTCAGTCAGCCATGCAATAAAAAATGGCAACTTATTTTGATATATCTGTCAATATATCATATTTTAGTATGTTGTAATGTGATATTTCCACGGGATTTAAAATCACACTATCTTGACATCACAAAATCTATTGCACAATAGCAATATCTTTTAAATGACTAAGGTTAAAAGATATCATGACATCGCAAAATGTGAACTCCAACGTCTGTTGTGGATTGGATGTTCATGTCATGACTTCATTTGTCAATGTCATGCCGCAATATTCTCAATTTGAAGTGAACACACTGCAAACACAAAAAATATTACTAGTTCTGAGATTTTCAGACTTCTAAATTCTAATAGAGAACACCAAAGGAGCCTGGTCAACTTAGCACTTCAAGTTTTCAAGCTATAAGAGAAAAATTGACTATAGAGAAACTGGTCCATGAATGTGCTAAGGTAATGATTTAAAAAGTACTTAATAAAAGGAAAGGAAAATCAATATAGTTGAACAGCTCACCTTCATTAGAAAGCAAATCTAATATTCTGTCCACAAGGTCCTGCAAGAAGTATAAATCAACCTCATACGCACAGAAAACAATCATCATTGTCCATCGGAAATCAAAAAAAAAGAAAACCTTGCACACTCATAAAAATAAAATACATAAAATAAAAAGACTCTACCATGATGTTAACCATAAAAAAAGGAAGCAAAAGCCATCAAACATATAGCAACAAACAACATAAAAATGAATAATAATTAAAAATCATCATAATTATTGGAGAGAGGCATAATTGTTGCACGAGAGAGGCTAAGTCTAATAAGTTAGCTCCATATCCACTGTTGAAAGAGCATGAAACAAAATTATAACCCTGTCAATGTCTCCAAATAAGGTGAGGATGAAACTCTTTTCAATGTGAATGGACACGCAAGGCAGTCTAAGTTTGAGCATTTTCAAAATGTACGTATAAGATATAAAAAGCACATGTTGGAACACCATATACTTTCTACTGGCCTGTCACCACAGAGACCAAAATATTAACTGAGAGGCCAAGCCCAAATGTCAACAGCTATCAAAAACATACTGAAGCAGCAACAATCAATAAAAAATGGCCAACATAACCCCAACACTTTCTTGGTATACATACTTGCAAGTGAACAAACACAAAGAATTGAAAGGGCCCTCGTTGACTAAATGCTGGGCACTGTTGGGATAGCTTAAAAATGAAAAAGACTAAGCTAAGAGTTTGCAGTTCAAACTTACAGCAACACTTTTACAACCCCATAATAATTTATTTACAGTTGGAGCAGAAAAAAGTAGGGACCACTAACAAGGATGTAACAGCAAACACAAAAAAGAAAGGTGATTGTAATAGAAGGCAGCATATGTCAAACAGCATACCTGCTTCTTCCCTTGAGTTGAAAGACCAAGCTTCATGAGGACATCCTTAAGTTCTTTGACTCGAAAACAAGCCAATATTTCCTAAAAGATATGGCACACAAGTAATCATAGTATCCAAAATGTAAAAGACATAAATAGACACGCAAACACATCCAAGAAGATAAAATTTGTGAAATGTGAAGTGAAAACCTAATGACCCCAGTAACTTCAAAACAAGATCTCCGAACAAGAAAAAAAATCTAGTTAGGATTATAATTTATAACATCGTGGGTATTAAAAGAAAAAAAAGTAAACTTTGCTCACACACATAATTAAATGTATTAAAATTTAAAAGTCATCAATGAATAAAGTAAAAGTTGTTTACACATACATTTGGTTTTTTCATATACCCAAAAGGCACCATACAAGCATAAAATATTAAAAGAAAGTACGCAAGAAATTATACTCATACAACTGCAAAAAAAAAGGTATATGTATGATTATATCATTATATGCAATATTGTGACAAAACATGCTCTGAATTCGAGTTCCCCAACAACTTTTAAGTAATATATAACTTACCTACACTTAGTTTCTACCAACTTTAATTCAACAAAAGATAAATAATTGATCATTCAACAAATTAAACTAAACAAAATGAACCCAAATACATGAAATTCAAAATAGCACAATTACACAACTAACCAAGAAAATTATAAACAACATCAAGACTAAGTAATATACCTTACAAGTAGAAACTAAATCCATCTTCTTTAAACAACCAGTGATTGCAAGTTTAACTATGTGTGTATGTATGTGTATCAATCCTGAACTGAAATGTGTGTGACCAACACTGAAACCCTTGAAACCAACCAATCAGACAAGAACTGATATACCAAATTTCAAAATAAAACCCTAAAAAAAGATAACCCTAAGCAAGAAACAGATAAAGAAATTCAAAATTGCTATATATATAATATATATTTGTGAGTGAATACAATTATATGAAAATTTAGCCAAAAGCCCCTAGGCCCAACATGTTAGTGGGTAAAGTACAGCACAAAATGTTTTACATCCTAAACCCCTGAGCAAAAAGCATGTTCTTCATGAAGGACAGACAAATATGTTTCCATATTTTTTTAGACAATTTTTCCCTATCATATATATATATATGTATGAGAAGTCAAAACTTTGTCATTGATTGCTCTCTTTCTCTCTGAAAAACATGGAGCAAATTAATGAAGAGTGAGACGATGGAGAAGACGACGATTGAGGAGAGAAATAAGAACACAAGAAGAGCTATTACGAAATACCCATGACCGGAGCCATCCACCGTCCATCATTTGTGGCAGCACGGTCCGCCAGAGCCCTCAATAGGATCCTCATCGCTTTGAATTTATTATCATTTCCAAATTTTTCACAGACATTAACAATGGTTGGAGAGAGAGATGCAAACTTTGTTGTATGTATTGACTATGTAAATTAATATTCTATGATTTGCCACTGATGTTCCATTTTCAATTATTTTGAATCTGCGATTGAGTATTCTACGAGTATGTATGAGTTTTAATTTATAGAGTTAGTGTGAGTTCATACGCAGGGAGGGCTGTACTCTGTTTTCGTTGATGTTTTGTTCAAAATAGACAGTAAAATGTTATTGTCAACCAGAGTAACATATTATTGTGAAACAAAGTGACATAGTACTGTTTACATCAATTTTGACGATATTCTTTTTATTTTTTAAAAAGAATTTCATAATCGACCTAAATCTTATTTGTTAAATCTTGATGAGAGAATTCTCAAAATACTAATTTTATTAAAAATCGATACTAAATCAAAAGTTATATCATTCTAAATTTTATAGTATTAAATTAGTCACTAAAGATATTTTAGTAATGGCGGTGTATGCTAGACTTTTCGAGGAAAACTTTGCTTGTCCGCATTAAAGTTTTATCATGAGGGGGCTTTGACCAAGTTCCCCATGATTATATCATTATATGTAAGATTGTGACAACAAGCTCTACATTCGTGCCACCAAATAAGTAATATACAAATTATCTCTACACTTGTTCTACCAACATGGTTTCAATAAAAGATATATAGTTGATCATTCCACAAATTAATGTAGCCCAATTACATCAAATTCAAAATTACACAATTGCATAACACAAAGCATGAAAATTATAAACAAAATCGAGTTTAAAGTAATATACCTTACTAGTTGAAGCCAAATCCATCTTCTCAAAAAAACCCTTCAAACAAACCAATCAACCAATAACTGAATTGCCCAAATTCAAAACAAAACAAAACCCTTAAAAAGACTCAAAAAGCAGATAAAGAAATTGAAAAATTGGATGAACAAGGAAAAGATAGCAAGAAAGTCTGTACACTCTCGATGAGAAACGCAATGAAAGCAATAGGTCTCTCTCTGAGATAGCAATCGGAAGTGACGAAGCTCTAGTGGAGTATCGGGACATAGAGAGAATCAGTGGGGACCACTTTTTGAAATAACGCCAATGGCGATGGAGCGGACGTGAATTTGTTCATTTAATTTTGATTTTATATAATCCTTTCACGTCCGGTTTTCATTTATTTCTTCCATTGGACGGTCAACTAATGTTCTTGGACACATCTCATTTTAATAAATGTACCTCAACAGCTAGATATCCCCCAAAATAATGCTAGATATCTAAAATTTTAGTAAATGCATTTTAACAGTGCTAGATATTCAAATTTTTTATTAAATGTCTTATATATGAATGTCTGATATGTGGATCCCGTATTTATGTGGATCAAAATTTATTAATTTACCAAATATTTCACATAAATATAGGACTTACGTGGTGTTAATCTTTGGTAAAAAATTTGGAATTTCTAACATTTTTCAATGCCTGTTTGACTAATTTTTAAGTTAGGTTGGACAAAATATTTTCAAAATATTATTTTTAATTTTTTGGTCAAAAAGTAATCACTCTGCTTGATTTTAATTTTTTAAAAACAGTAAGGATGGTCATTTTCACCATCCCACTCCATCCGAGTTTTTCCCACCCTGTTGAGAAAGTAAGGCGGGGATAGGTTTTACTTCCTCCGTTCTATTCTACCCGACTCCATCCCAATTATATTGATTAAATATATTTATATGTATATAATATTTTTTCACTATAATAAAATTAAGCGTTAATCGGTAATAAATCCAATATAAAGAGGATATAAGACATTAGATTCAAGGGATATTTTCCATTGATGAAAGGTCCATGTTTTGTAAAATAATTTGGTGAGAAGTCCTGGAGAATATTTTGTTTTCAATTTTACTCCTTGACTTTTTTCATCTGTTTGACTTTTCGTTGACTATCTTTTGAAATTATTT